AGTTAGCCAAGCCGCGTTTTTTGTTCAACTTGAAGCATGGTAGTGGGTGAAACAAAGTACTCATGTTTGTCTACAACAAACCACAGCAAGTAAGAAAGTGACACTCGATAGTAACCAACATTAGCTCTATGATCGCAACCCTATTATTCGGAACAGATCTATACTTTATAGAACCAATCAGATTCTTTAAAATATATGGTGGTAGTTTTCGTCTTTAAAACAGTGTTAATAACTTCCTTTATAGTAAACCAATGAATCTTGATTAACAATTTCTTTCCATCACCCGCATGCACTTGGTACAGCCGTATCAAGTATAATTATTTACGCTAATGGCTTAAGCTAATATCACGTGACGCTAAACGCTTTTTCATTAGGAGAATTTAATAAAATTTAGCAAACTTGTGCTTAAAAGTTGGCAATGAATAATAACTGTCCACCCGTATGATTGTTTTGAAAACTTTAGCTAGAAACTGGTAACCGAGTTTGCTTGGCCTAAACTATTCTTATGTATCTGTACGTCCTTCACCCTATAGTTTTGCTGCTCTAAATCAACAGTCTTTAATTCGAATGACAAAAAACTGAAAACAGTCCACTTTTACTCTTAGGTGAAGCTGTATAAAAAATTCCAGACAAATAGCTCACGTGACTTTTCGCGTAGGCGTGCGCAAAAAATTTCGTCACATTTGAGCAGTTTTCGTTAAATAACTTAGCAAATTTGGATTATATTTGAACCAAATTTGACACCTAATTGTGGGTTGTAAAGATCAATCAGTATACCGAACTTGAAAAATCCATAAAAGTTAAGTATGTTTTCCTGTCAAATAAAGTTTCCGTACTTTCGGTGCGAAATAAAAAAAGGAAAAATTCAATAAAAATTGGAGAATTTATATCTCTTGTATTTCTCAATGGATTGCCTTGAAATTTGGTGTTTGAAATAAGGTAGAGGTCTCCAAACCTTTTTTGGACAAGGGCCGAGAGGTAGATCTTTTTAGGCTTGTGGGCCGGAGGGGTCGTGGTAAAATTAAGTACACACACACATTGAGGTACACGGGGCAGGCGTGGGAAGAAACACGTTGCTTTATAGGGCACTGGGATCGATATGTTAGATGACGCAATACTAAGTAATATGATGTTTCCCAGCAAATAGAAAAGTGTATCGCACCTAGATTGGCTTTTGCTCAATTATATTTTATTTTTTGTTTTTATAATATTAATTAATTATATTATTACTTTAATAAACTGTTGGGGGCCGGATGTGGCCAGCAGTATTGATACCCCTGAAGTAAGGGTTCAGTAGAGCACATCCACTGAAAATATGTGATAGTTTGGATTACCACAGTCCGAGCTATAGTGCCGGGCCCGAATGTACAACTGGAAGTTTTTATATGTGAAATGTTTCTGGTGAACTGGAGATTACTCGATATTTCGATCTTCTTCTTTGTATCCCCCTGAATCACTAATATTTACTGAAGCCTACATGCTTGCGGTAGCCAGTGTGGCAAAAACCTTCAGCGCCGCCTTGTTGCTTGCATGTGCCTCAGTAATGATTAAATAACTGATTTTGTTGGAGGCAACAATTTGAAAATATAAACTGTACATGACAAGTGTGTCCTGAGTTAGACTAAAATTCATTAGTTTTACGCAGAACCAACTTTTAGATCACACATCCAGGTCCATTAGAAGTGCGTTATCTGTAAATGCGTTACCATTTAAAGGTTAAAAGTCATGAAAACAGACCTTGCATTCTTCTACCCAAGGTAACGTACATGTTTTCTGTTAGAAGTAAACACTGTTCAACACCCTCACTCTGGAAGTAGATTATAATTTTATGTTCACAAAACAAAATGTGGTAGGACAGCAGAAACGCACGTGGCCGATGCGTCATCAATGCTTAATTAATATGGCCTGTTCTAAGAAGGGTTGGTCACTAGACGTACAGGGGAATTGTAACGACTGTCGTGGTTTTGCCCTCGCATTAAGACGAATTTTTCATACTTTGTTTAGAATGCATTAAGTTAGACGTCAACTTTTCAAACAGAGAAGCTTACTTACCGGACAAGCGTGTGTGTGTATGTGTGTTTTCTTATAGCAGAGCCACATCAGGCTATATCTGCTGTATCCACCGAGGGGAATCGAA